TAGATGAGATTCTAAGTGAAGAACAGTCAAATATAGCTGGTAGCATCGTCACCGTTAATTGTGGTTTATATATATATATATATATATATATATATATATAATCTCCATGCTTCAAGTCATTTATTAAATTAAATTTTCACTAGGTGATTATCCCCGTTACACTGCGATCCAGCAAAACAAAATTATTTTAAAATTTATAATCTTTTTTATGTCTTTCGTAAATTTTCTACATAAAAAACATGATTTTTTTCTTCTTTATGCATAAATTATGAAATAAAAATTTATAATAATTTAAATTAAAATTTTAATCAAGAATTAAAAAATACTTTAAAAATATATTTTTCATAAAAATATATTTAAAAAATAAAGTTACAATAAATGTTAAACTTATATAAAATTAATTAATAAAAATTAAATTTTACTCTTATTTAATGCTGATAATATGATTATTTTTTAAATCATGTGCATTTGATCTATATATGTATATTTATAAAACAGTCAATAATGTTAGCATAAAAAACTATATTTGAATAATTGAATTATTTTAAAGAAATTATTTTAATTATTTATTTCAAATAAATTGATTCTATAATTTTTTAAAATACTTATAGCAATTAGTTTGTGTTATGCGTGAAGATGTATAATTAATTTTTAATAAAATCAATGATTCAATAATTTTTTGTACGTCTTAATCATACTTAACGGACTAAGACAAATGATCTAAAATACACTTTTAATTTTTAGATTAAAATAATTATATATTTATATGTAAGTAACTATTATTTAAAAGTTTTAAGAATGCATAATATATATTATATCAATTTATTCAAAAAAGAAAAAGAGAAAAAAATTTATTCTCAAAATTCAATAGTAGGAAAAAATAATTTATATTTATAAATAAATAAAATTTTATTAAAAAATATTATTTAGATGAGGATTTTCATAGAAATGACAAATTAAAAGAATAAATTTTACATAATAATAGTAATATAGTTTAAAATATATATTAATTTTAAAATATAAAAATAATTTTTTATCTTTGTCGTGTTGCATGAAAAACACAAATAATAATACTTGATATTTCATAATGTTTGCCTAAAAATTGTTGATTAAAAAAAAAACTAAAGAGAAGAAAAAACCAAAAATTAAAGAAAAGAAAAGAAAAAATCAAGGAGAAAGCCCGCGTGCTTGAGTCTGAAGCACTAGGGCCGTGCAGGGCTGTGGAAAAAAAATAAATCCTCTTTATTTATCGAGACTTCTATATTTTTTGGCAATCGATTTCACCTAAAAAGTCAGATTTTATTATTTTAGGCCTTTTAAAATCAAATTCAACCTCGATTTTGTCTAAAAATATCTCAAAATCACTAAAATAACATTAAAAAGTTATTTAAAACCTCAAAATTTATTTTAATTTACACAAAACACACACAAATTCAAATAAAAAAAACTTAAAATTATTTTAGGCCTTCAATCTACCTCCTCCTATTAGTTCATGACTTGCCACTGTCACAAACAAATTCAACTCTTTAAGATGAACAAAATAGTGGAAACATCGACCATCGGGGTAATCGAAATGGGCTTTGTTGGTCGTCTCTCTCCTCTTAAGATGCAAGGGCCAAAACAAACAAAAAATGAAGTTTTAAATTGAAAAATTGATGTTAAAAAAAGAGAGGCTAAAGTGAATATTTTTTGTATAAACAGTATATGAATAGTAATTTTAGAGAGAATGAATAATAAATAAATAGTAAAAATAGAAATAGTTCACAGTGTGTAAACAGTTAATTTTGTTTTTTTAGTTGTTTTACTTAATGTTCATGTATAGATAGACGTTGTTTGTTAGTTACTAAAATAATTACTATTATTATCTAGACAATTCGAACAAGGAAAAAAAAAAGAACCATTATATATATATATAATCCTTTGGACTAAATTTTTCTAATATTAAGTAATAAAAATTATAGATAACAAATGTAATAAATTTTCCGAGCGAAGTAATATTTTCTTTTTGTAAACAAATCATTCTTTAATTAGAAGAACGAAGTGGCTGATAGAGCACTTCATATATTTCAGCTCGTTTAATATAAATTAAATAGTACGAAACTTGTAGATATGTGTTTTTGTTTGAACTTATGCATAATTTCACGACATATCCAATGAAACACAACCGTATCAATAACAATGTTTTGGTAAATAAATTGTCTTAGTTTGGTCAAATCTTACTATTTACGAATGGTTAATTATAGGTATTTTTTAGTGGTATTAGATTTCGATTAATTTGATTTAACAGAGAGCTTAATGATCGACTAAAAACTAAACATATTCTATCACTGATTTTACTCAAGAAACGTTAAACTTAATATCGATTAATGTAAAAACTGGTTAAAGAATACTCCAATGTATATATTATCTGAACCTCAACCATTGGTGGAATACAACCTACGGTTGATCAGACTGCAAGTGTTTCTTGTTTTTAGGAGCCAGAAGATTTTTCTACTTGGGTTAAAAAGAAAGCATGATCTTGACATGGATGTGGCTTTTAGCAAGTGTGTGGTATAAGGTTGTTTGATATATATATATATATATATATATATATATATATATATATTTTTTGGAAAACGTTATTTGAGATATCAAGCATTTTTATGTTGGGTAAGCCAGGATATCTCAAATTTTGGAGAGTATCAAATGTTTTGGGATATTAAATTACTTGAAAACCTAAGAATTTATTTCCCTCATAGAACGAGTGGAATTTGAGATGCAAGGGATTTTGGCGTTGTCATCACCCCCCAACTTAAATGGCTCTATTTTTATATTAAGTTATCCAAGGTAGTCTTATTTTTTTACTAATAATTACACAGATGTTTTAAGTGACTAGTATACGTATTTTTACTAAAATATAATTTTAAATAATTATTTTGATGACTTTAATTTAGCACAAAATTAATCCTTATGTTATGTATGTTACGTAATTTATTGATATACATATTATTTTACTCGACAATAATAATTTTATAAAATTAAATTTATTGTTGGATTCATTTCAATATATTACTTTTAAACTCAATTAATGCAAGTATTTATATTAAAAAATATTTTCAAATTAAATACTTCAAAATTTTAATGGTAAAGTGATAAATTTACCTCTATTTCTCGTGACTTTTCAAAAATGAACTGAATACAATAAAAATACAGTATTAGGATTTTTTTATTTTCAATTAAACACAAATGTGGTATTTTCACTAATCACATTTTCAACAATTACATTTTCATAAAGATATATAAAAATCTGCATACCAAACATCCTCTTAATGCTTGGACAAAATCCAAAAATAGAATAATCGAATCAATTTGAATGTGACATATTACATGTCATCGGAATACTAAAATTGTCAATTCTTTTCTATTTTCTTCGTTCATATTGATCAGGAATGAAATGCATTGGAAGTAATCTATTCATTAAATCATAAAATGGAATGAAAAATATGATACGAAAAAACAATGAAAAGAGGAAAACCATGTCATCATAGCAGAGTTATTTTAAGCGTCCTTTCAAAAAAAATAAAAATAAAAAATGACGAATGAATGGATGTGTTAAAGATATTTTTATTTCTCCACAGCAATACAAGTCTCCTTTCTTCTTTTCTTTTTACTCATTTCTTGGCAGTAGAATTTCCCAGCACACATGGTTTAATATATTTTATATTTTTAAAAATTTTAATTGGTCCCTGATTTTTAATCATTTTTTCAACTTCTTTTTTACAAACTCAGCTTCATATATACTTTTACATTCTTAAAAAATTACTCAAATAATAATTCACTTTTACTTCTTACTTTTTATCGAATGCTGTCTTAACATAAAAATGATTCAATTGCTTTTGAGATATTATTATATAGTTTTGATATAATCCCTTTTTACTTGTTCGGCTCTAATAATAATGATAATGGGCTCCTACCAAAAGCTTATAACTCAGTGATAGTCGTTTTTTATAACAAGAGATTATGAATTTAAATTCTAACAAATTAATTTTATTAAGAGTTTTGGGTGGATGAATTAAAAAAAAATCTAATAAATAAATAAATAAATAATAATAATGGGCTCGTACACGGTTGGTAAGTGCCAAGACCAGAATGACATAAATATAAAAACTTTGTTGGGCCAGGAAATATAGCTATGCTATAAAATTATCATAAAATTTTGAGTAATTGATCTCTCTTTCGTTTCTATATAAACAAGACTTGTCAATTACAAATTGGTAGTTTGTTGAACAAATGTGAATTGATATGATAAATTCAAAGTTTGATCTTTATGACTATAATTTTTGAAAATTCATTTTTAAAATATTCAAAATTATATGTTAAAGAAAGTACTCTTTAATCAAGTTCAAAGAAAATTAGATATGCAAAAATGGAATTGAAGACAGCTTTACTTTAAAAAAAAAAAAAAAAATTGTCATTGTAATTTACACGCGGGAGGAATCACTGCACCAGAAGTGCCTAATAATTTCTCTCAAATTCCTAATTTAGTCATTAAGCTTTTACACGATTCCCAAATCTGTCCCAAAACATGTTATCAACTAGGTCCCTAAATTTCTTACATATTTCTCAACCGACTCCTGCTATTAATGTCATTAGCGTTTCGCATACTCATCTCTGAAACGGTGCCATTTTGATGATAATTAATCGAAACAAATATAAAAAAAATTTGAATAAAAGGACCCGATTGGGAAATGTCTAAAATTATATGAACCCAATAGATAAAATTTTACTTTTAGGATGAAGTCAATAATTATTTAATATATAAGGACTGATATGACTTTTTATTGAATTCAATTTGACAAAAGCATCATCCACTTTTATTTTCCTTCCGTTCCTTCTTTCCCTCTCCTCTTCTCCACACACTAAAACCTCACCATCCATACCTCTCCCTCCCTTCACAGGGTTTATCACTTCTCTTCTCTTCTCCAAAATCCACCATCTTTTACAAACATTCCCATCAAAATATGATGCTTCAAATCACACTCTCATCTCCATTTCTCCTCTCTTCTTGCTCATCAGCTCACAGACTCAATCCTCTTCTCTTCTCTAAACGACGGCGTTGCCCCATCAAGCTTTCTCACTTCCGTTTCAATCTTCTGTCCAAAACCAGATTCTTTAAAGGTAATTCCATTATCACTAACTATACGGTTTGGATTTTTTTTCCTTAAAGTTTAAACTTTGAAATTCTAAAGTGGGAGCATAAAGTTTGATGCTTTGAATTATGTGAAGTTTGGAAATTTGAATTTGTATATAATAAAAAATGGGTTTTTGTTTTTGTTAATTAATATCTTTTTTGGACTAGTATTTGTTTTGTTTATGTAATGTGTTTTAGTAGCTTATGAGCCTTTCTTGCTTTTTAGTTGCTGCGGCTGCAACAGAAAATGGTGTATTTACTTCTCCAGAAATCGCAAAGTCATTTGATTTCTCTTCAGAAGAACGAATTTACAATTGGTACATTTCCTTTGACCATACTCTAAATTCATTTTACATTGTGTAAATGTTTTACTTGATGGCATTTTCATATGCAAATGGTGCTGTGCTTTTTCTAAATGCTTCTTAACATATATTCATTCATCGGTAACGTCTTCTACTTGTTGGATTCTAGGTGGGAATCTCAAGGATTTTTTAAGCCAACTTTTGACCGGGGGAGTGATCCTTTTGTGGTATCAATGCCACCTCCAAATGTTACTGGTTCATTGCACATGGGGCATGCAATGTTTGTGACTCTTGAGGTTGTGGAACTGAATTCAAACTAATTGATTTATGACTTGAATTGTCATTTATCTTTTCTGTACATCATAGTAGGATCATGGAACACCTTTTGAGCCACCACTTAGCTTAGGTGGTTGGTGATGGTGTTGCTGACTTCCCATCATTCAACAACCGCCTTTCACAGAAATAGCTTTAGCTTAGACAGGTTCAAGAGAAGTGTGTTGGTGGGTGGGTTGCGAGGGGGCAGGCATTGCCTCACAATAGATTTTTGCCCTGAACAGTGGATATCAACTGCAAGCAGAGTGCAGACACTTAGCTTGTCTCCTTAGGCCATCCTTCTAAATGATAGATGGAAATGATACCTCTCTACAAGCATTGCTCCCTTGTTGATGCACCTCTTATCCATTATTTGATTATTGCATCGTGCTTATATAGCCACTGCTTTTAAAAATTGTTCTGATTTTTGCCTTGTTTTTGGTTGTTTTATGTAACACATTTCCTCATTTGTGAAGAAAATCAAGCATATTGTGTTTTAGGATAAAAATGGGTTAATTAATCAGTTAAAGTGAAAAATGGTATCGGTAGTTGCTAGTTATTTGGCATGCAGACAAGATAGTTGAAGCATTCCTCAAAAAAAGAAAAAAAAAGAGTTAATATCATATCTTTCTTGTTCATATATTGGGATACAAGGACTATGTAAATGAGCAGAAATTTGATTCTAAGATATAAGTGATGTAACATGGAATGATTGTGTCTGAATTTTATCATCTAAAGTTAATAGCAAAAGCAAATGATTTAGAAGTACGTAACTGCTGACTTTTATTGTGAATGATGCTAAAAGAATTCTGGAGATACGGTATTCTTGACGGAAACTTGTCTTAAGGAAGGCAAATGTTAAAACCCCAACTATTTTATAATTCATGGATGGAGTGTGTTTATGCATAAAAATACTAAGTTTACCAAGAACTTCCTTGACTTTCTGTGAACTTTTCTCTTTACTCCTTCCATTAATATTATGCATCAGTGATGTGATAGTCTTTTCTGGTCATCTCATTCTATGTCATTGACCCCATTTTAAATTTCTGCAATCATAGCTTATGAAGAGGATACTTACCGTATTACAGGCATATAACTTCATAATGTTATGCTCTTGATTCATTTTTCATCAATCTGGAGAACTAAGTTTGATAAATATCAAGTGGTGTGCTTGTTGTATATCGCAATTACATTTACATTTTCCTAGCTGTCTATCATGCCAGTATCGTATATCACCTCTTCTACCTTTTGAAGTTTCTTCCTTTGCCTAACTCGGTGATCTTGTTGGTTAGGATATCATGGTTAGATACAATCGTATGAAAGGAAGACCAACACTGTGGCTTCCTGGTACTGATCATGCTGGTATTGCAACTCAGGTTTGTTTATGAACTGACTGTTATCCTGATATTAGTATATTGATTGATTCTCCTTTGGGTTATTTTAATAGAAAAAAAATGCATTCCACTCAGTCTTCCATAAAACTGTTGTAAGTGTTGGAGCTTCCCCTTAACATTGTTTCTCTAACTCTTAAGCTGTATTTTTTGGTGAAATGGTGTCTCCCTCTTACACTGTTTATGTGGGGATCTTACTATATCAGATCTGACATATTTTTAGGGTATCTATTTTCAGTCTTTCCACTGCTTTTCCTGATGCTTGTCTTTTTGGAGATAAGTTTTTGATGAAGCGTTGCTTGAATTGCTTTTGTGTTTCGAATTATCGTTTTGAATAAATGTGCTTCTTTTCTCAGTTGGTTGTAGAAAAAATGCTTGCATCTGAAGGAATTAAAAGGACTGATCTGAGCAGAGATGAGTTCACAAAACGAGTTTGGGAGTGGAAGGAGAAGTATATATCCTAAACTTACTCCTGTAGTTATCCTTTACGTGACCTGTGTTTTCTGATTGAGCACAGCATTACCTTCTTCTGTAACAGACACCTGTGTTTCTTTTCCAGCTTTCAAATTTTTGCCATGTGTTTCTGATTCCAAATAAATTGACAGACCACATGTAATTAAAGAATCAAATGGAACATCTGAGAGGGGGGGACCCGTGGAACATTGAAGTGGAAATATCATGTAATAGAAGTAAAGTTATTAACTGACGAGGGATGTTGTTGAAGATTATTTTTTAGGCAATGTTCTGCATTTTTTTGTGTTATAACGGTTTTTGTTGATTCTTATGTTCTTACTGCATTCTTTTTGAGATCTAAAGAACAAATTACACCCCTTCTATAGATTGTAAAATTAAAGTTTCCTAATTGTTCCTTAACATCTTTATTTCTTATGGCTTCCTTGGTTCTTTTGTCGTTAATTTCTTCAGTAGGTCCTTTTAATAGCGACCAAAAAACAAAAAAAATGTTGAAATTTGAAGGTGGCTGATTGAACCTTCAAATTGTTTGTACTGTTAAATTTGAAGTAGTTTCAGTTATCAGTGCATCCCACCTCCTATGGCGTGTTTTTTGCATTCTTACTTTGTTATGTTTTCAGATATGGTGGAAGTATTACAAATCAGATTAAGAGACTTGGTGCTTCATGTGATTGGACTAGAGAACATTTCACTCTTGATGAGCAGCTAAGTCGTAAGGCAGTTTTCTTACTGGCAGAAGTAGAACATTGGCCAATCTAGAAAACTGTGTCTGTCTGGGGATAGTTTATGGGTAGTGTTAAAGTGCTAGTAAAGGGTGCCATTCTCTCTTCTTTTTTCTTTCTTTCCTTTTTTTTTTCCTGCTCATTATTTGACTGTCATTTGGAAAGAACTCTTCATTTAATTGTACCTGACAACTACCTCTGATATGCCTCTCAATGTGCCTTCTCAAACTGCATTTGTCAGATATTCCTTTATTCTGACACCAAGCCGTCTAATTTTGCAGAAGCTGTGATTGAGGCTTTTATCAGGCTTCACGAGAAAGGCCTAATCTATCAAGGTATCAAACTTTTACTGGCTGAGCTCTTTTTTTCCCGACTAAAGGAAAGGTTTTTTTTTTTGTGTGTTGTGTGTGTGTGTGGGGGGGGGGGGGGGGGGGTGTTTGGTATCCGTGTTCTTGCAGTCTAATCCTGGTTACAAGATTAAATCAGTTCATTGGTGCTAAAGGGTAGGGGGCTGCTTTCTTCCTTTTTTCAGTTTCTAGGTTTTCAGTTTGTGTATTTAACTGTGCAGGGTGTTCTACTATTTACGATATTAAACAGTTATTTGGTTATTGTGATAAATGTTTCACTAAATTCATACTTTCTTCTAGGCTCGTACTTGGTTAACTGGTCTCCTAATCTACAGACTGCGGTTTCAGACTTGGTATGCTATTTTCCAGCCTCAATTAATTGTTATTGTGACAAATAATATAGTTACATAAGTTCTTTTTATTTGTGCATAGGAAGTAGAATATTCTGAAGAACCTGGCACTTTATATCACATCAAGTACCGAGTTGCTGGACAGTAAGTATCGGATATTTTAACTTTTAATATTTCTCTATTTCCTCTGTAAATACATGATTTCTAATAGATCATCAATCAATATAATTGCTCAAATAACATATTCTTGACCATCTGGGTATTGTGTCAGTGATTTGAATTTGCTTACATTGTTGTATTTCTGGAGTTACCCCTACATGAACTTGTCTATGTTGCCACAGCTTTCTAGAAGACTGCTACATTATACATATTGCAATTGTTATAGTTCTTCCTTTTGTAGGAGTGACTTCTTGACGGTAGCAACAACACGGCCAGAGACTTTATTTGGTGATGTAGCTATTGCTGTAAATCCCAAGGTAGGGACATTTTTATGTAATCTACAGGAACTCTTTAAACTTTTATACCAGGATTCAAGGTAACAGTTTTTGAATTAATTACTTAGATCCTAAATTTAAGGAATATGCATCATGACTTCAATAAATAGGTTAATAAGTACTGACACGGTGATGAGCTATCCGAAAATTTGAGAATCTTTATCATTAGAAGCATGTGAAACATTGAAAATAATTCCATTTCATCTAGTGTTCATATCAGCCATTATCACAGGAAAATAAAAAGATAACGATCAGAAAATTCTGATTATTATTTGAAGATATTTGAGGATCAGACGGTATAATGGTAATTTTCATTGTGATAAATCTTGCAAGCCCTCTGACTAAACCTCAGGGTTTTCATTCCATAATTTCAGTGTTTGTGGTAAAGCATATCCAAACATCTTTTAGTTACACATATATCCTAGTATTTAATTCAGAACAAAAGATGAAATAGATGTACCGGTATTCTCTTTCTAGTGGTAAAACTGAAGCACCTTCACAGATAAAGTACTCATAGTATTTACAGTTTGGAGGTGGCTCAGGTATCATAATATCTTCCATGATTTAGTTGGTTGTGTGAGTGTTTGATACATGCTCTTTTATTTAGTTTTATGAGATTCGGGGCAACATAAATTCTGACAACTCAATATATTTTATATTTCATTGCAGGATGACCGCTATTCTAAGTTTATTGGAAAGATGGCAATTGTACCCATGACATATGGCCGCCACGTACCTATTATCGCTGACAGGGTAAAAGCTTGCTTTCTGATTCTTGTTGCATTTTCCTTTGTTGTATCTGTGTCCATGATATATTTTTCTTGGGAAATCTCCATATTGTTTTGTTATTATTGAATTTTGTGTAAGCCATGTACTTATATGTTATAGCCCAGACTTATGTTCTTGAAGCAAGTTGAAATTCAGGAAAATAACCTGATTGCTATTTTGGCAGCATGTTGATAAAGACTTTGGCACTGGTGTGTTGAAGATAAGCCCAGGACATGATCATAATGATTACTATCTTGCTAGAAAGCTGGGTCTCCCTATACTTAATGTGATGAATAAGGATGGGACCCTTAATGACGTTGCTGGATTGTACTGGTGAGACTTGAACTAGTTATCTTAGGTTGAAGAATTTGTGTTGGAGAATTTATGTATGCCTAATATGCGGAAAGAACTCTTGGAATGTTAGTGGTCTTGATCGATTCGAGGCACGAAAAAAACTGTGGTCAGAACTTGAGGAGACAGGATTAGCTGTGAAAAAGGAGCCATACACCTTACGGGTTCCCAGATCCCAGCGTGGTGGAGAAGTGCGTAAATACTGTCTTTACATATGCCCTTCCAGATTTTGATGATTTAAATTTTGGTGAAAGAATGACTTTTCAACAGGGAATTTTATGTCATGATGCTTGCTTCCCCTCTTATAGATAATTGAGCCATTGGTAAGCAAGCAGTGGTTTGTTACCATGGAGCCCTTGGCTGAGAAGGCCCTTCGTGCTGTTGAAAAAGGAGAATTAACCATAATGCCTGAAAGATTTGACAAGGTATGCAAGATTAAGGAGAAGTCTTTATCATGTTCCTCTGCATTTTATTCCTATTTTGATCAGCTAGACTTTCTCTTATGCTTGCTTAATTATTGGTTCTTTGCTGAGCCTTTGAGTAGTTTCCGACTTACACTTGTGTAAGTTGCTATCCTGCTTGATATTACCTTTTGATGTGGCCTATCTAGTCCTCCTTCATAACCATGCAAATCGTTAGTAATCTTGTATATATCAATCTGTGTCATGGGTTTCCTTCAACTCCGTCAACCTGTGGTTATTTCTTTAAAGCCAAATTTACTATTTAACCAAACTCAGTGTCAAGTACTTTGCTTACAGCTTTCTTTTTGTTGATGGCAGATTTATAATCATTGGCTGTCAAACATCAAGGATTGGTGTATAAGCAGACAACTATGGTGGGGACACCGCATACCTGTATGGTACATTGTAGGTAAAGACTGCGAAGAAGATTACATAGTTGCAAGGAATGCTGATGAAGCTCTTGAGAAAGCTTGTGAAAAGTATGGGAAAAATGTAAAAATTTATCAAGATCCTGATGTTTTGGATACTTGGTTTTCAAGGTCTGTTTTTTAATGAATAACAACCATTTATCTCTTGTTATTAATGGTTAAATTGTATATTAAAAGATAGAAGAGGTTAAGCGATCAATCATTTTCTCATGGAAATGCCTAGAGCAGTAAATGGTTTGGACTCGGAGTCTAGAAAAGTGCAAACAGCTATAGAATAAGCAGCAAACTTTGTTTTGTATGGGCTTTCTCTCTTTGAGTCAATCCTTCTTCCCCCAAACATTGTTTCTCTTAGCTAATATAGCTGGTTAAATACAGTGATAAACATTGTGAGAAAAGATAGGTACCATAGGTTATGCATTGATAATAATTCTGTGCATTTCTGTCTACAGTGGAAGCCTCCTTGATATTTGCTATTGCTGCTGCAAGCTCCACTCAATCTTTTATCAATCATTTCATTTTTGTAGTAGCAAATTTTGGATCTCTTATCACTTTCTACTAATTTTTTCTAATAACCCATGGGTGACCGGAATTACCTTTTCCCCATAACACCATGGAAGTACTGTTTTAAAATGAATCAAATTTCCATCTCCTTAGCGTCATATTATTAATTATTTAACTTCCATTTTCAGCGCTCTGTGGCCGTTCAGTACTCTTGGTTGGCCAGATGTTTCAGCAGAGGATTTTAAGAAGTTCTATCCAACAACAATGCTTGAAACTGGGTATGTCCTTATCCTGCTGACTACTGCTGCTTTGATTTCTTTTTGTCTTTTTATCTTGGCTGTAGTTTAATCATTTGATCTGGAACCTTCTTCAAGACATTGAAGTTGGATAGATACACTTTAACCCATCTGGCTGAGTGGGGGGTTTGAAACTTGAAATTAACCAGCCAGTTCTAAAAGAATATTCAGGTACTTGGCAGCCAAAGATAGCTTCAGGTGTTTTGGGTTGTATATTGTGTCCTTATACTCTTTGTTTATTGAGTGAGCATGAAGAGATGAGGATTGCATGGCTTGGGAGCAGGAGAGAGTTGGAAATCGCATCTTTCATCACTGGATTAGTCACAATTCTCACCCCTTCTATTCTTGGTTGTGGCATTGCTGCTACGATTCAGTTTTTGCACTAGTTTTCTGCCAACTATGTTGGAATATATATTCTGCATCATAATTATAACCACTGGTGCCGACTGCTGACTTCATTGATATAAGATAGGCTGGAAACAGTTTGCAGCATGAAAGAAGTGATCAGTGGTAAAATGCCATAAATGTATTTGGCTTGCGGTAACTAGTTTTCAAGTTTGTTTTGAGAATTGACTAACCACTTCATGGAAAAATGTTCACGGGTAGAACTTTCTTAAAATTCTCTTTTCTAACACCCATCTTGGTGGAACCATGCCTGATTCATGTCGTAGTCAGTTTTATCTATTGATGACAGGATTTAAGAGTTTTGGTGATTTACTGGCCTTCTGGCTTCGTTACAAGATGATTATCTTTCCTGTTGTAGGGAACTAGCTTTAATCGCATTGAAATGCATGGTTTTTTTCATTGATAAATATGGCTTTTATTGTCAATGCTTGACTTTTCATTGTTTTGAGGTTTCCGCCTCTGTGGGCTTATCTGATACCTCATGATTGCTGTTATTGATACTTGCTTCTGTTGTTTGGACAGGCATGATATTTTGTTCTTTTGGGTGGCGAGGATGGTCATGATGGGAATTGAGTTTACTGGGACCGTTCCATTTTCATATGTTTATCTTCACGGGCTTATCCGGGACTCACAGGTGAGTACAGCAAGTGTGTAAATTTGTTCATATGCATGTATTGGTTCGTAAATCCATGTACAGTTCTATGGATATGTATAGCAGCTCATGTCTCATGAAGACAATGGAAAAATAATTACTGCAAGGATTACTGACGAACTTTGCTCTTTTAATTGTGATTATCATTTTACTCGGTTGCTGTTCTTATAGTTTAGCTTGCATGTATTATTCTCACTTTTATCTCCAAATCCTTTTGTTATATTTTCAGGGACGGAAAATGTCTAAAACACTCGGTAATGTAATAGATCCCCTTGATACAATCAAAGAGTTTGGCACTGATGCTCTACGATTCACTATTTCTCTAGGAACTGCTGGCCAGGTTGCTTTCTTGTCCTCTAATCCTTGAAACTGCTCCTTCAAGACTTGATGACTTTTGTTGAAGAAAAATTATATGCAGCCAATCTGCCTCCCTTTGCATTTTGGTGGTTTTAAGCTTACATCAGATGCTGTTTTTCTTTTGTTTACTAATATACGTGCTTTTTGACCCAGGACCTTAATTTGTCTACTGAGAGGTTGACTGCTAACAAGGCCTTCACCAACAAACTATGGAATGCGGGCAAGTTTGTGCTACAGAATTTGCCTAGTCAAACTGATGTATCTGCTTGGGAAGCTATAATGGATTATAAGGTCTGTTTATCCTCTTTGAGAGGACATTAGTCTTTTTGTAGTCATGTTTTCTAGGCTTACTGAAGGCAGCCCTGTTGAGTACAATGAACCAAGTTTATTCCTCTTGCAGTTTGACAAAGACGAGTCTGTTCTTATGCTACCTTTACCAGAATGTTGGGTGGTAAGAAAATAGCTATGAAGCACTGTGTCCATTGCCAAATCCCTTTAGTTAAGCTTTACCATGTTTAATTTCAGGTGTCAAAACTTCATCTGCTTATTGACATGGTCACAGCGAGCTATGACAAGTTTTTCTTTGGAGATGTTGGGAGAGAAACATATGATTTTTTTTGGAGTGATTTTGCTGATTGGTACGTTAAATCTTTCCAGTTTTTCATTGGAATATATTTATCTTTATTTGAATAGACTGTAGACAATGAATAAATTTCCTGCTCCTGGAATCTAAAACATGAGAGCCTTCGGTGGAACCATAACAACACATAAATCACTTGATACATGGGAGAGGCTTCACTTTTGTCGGAAGATAGTGATTGAGGTTTAGTGCATGCATGTATGTATGATCTATGTCACATGGTTTTCAGCTTTGTTATTTTTCTGTTCGGAGGATAAAATTTTTCATTAATTAACAGGCTATTTTCTCAGAAGAAATGTTTAAGATAAAGTGGCAACTGATCCCTTAAAATGTTTGATTCTGAGTGGGCAAAATATCGGGTCAGAAGTTCTTTGTTTTCTTTTTTCATTCTTTATTGGTGAAACTTGTAGTGTTTTCCTATCTAGAGCATATCCATATGATGCAAAGACATGTGCACGTGCCATGTAAATTCATGCTTGCTGCATCATTTATATTTGGGATAATACCAGCAGAATACTTGGAATCCTGTTTGCTACATTATGTGCGCTAGGTGTAGAGCTGTAGATATATGTGGTGCATTTTATCTTGATTTATACTCTGTATTTTGCTTTTTTGATGTCTTGCTTTTTTTGGTTTCAAGGTTTTAGCTGTTGCAATGGTTTAATAATTCCTTCACTTTGGTCAGGTATATTGAAGCCAGTAAAGCTCGCCTTTACCAGTCTGGAACTGGTTCAGCTTCTTCAGTGGCACAGGCAGTTCTGTTGTATGTTTTTGAAAATGTATTGAAATTACTACATCCGTTCATGCCATTTGTCACTGAACAACTGTGGCAGGTAACAATCCTGTTGCATATATCCCATGTCAACTTTGCCTTAAGCTTTGTTGATTAGAGTTTACATCATCATTTCTTTTCAATCCATCTTTTATTTCAACTGAACTGGATTCGTCATTTGAGTGACCGTGTTGTTTTTTGAGTTTAAAGATCACTGCTTTTATTTACAAGTTGATATCATGTGTTTGATTTTAAAAAATCACTTCTTTGAGTTTGAAGTTGATACAGTATGTTCCTTGTGATGTCGCTTTGTAAACTTTGTATGGATGCAACAACTGCATGATGCAGTTTTATTGATTCTTGACTTCCTCCAATTTATATACAGGCACTCCCTGAACGGAAAGAAGCACTTATAGTATCTCCTTGGCCCCCGACTTCACTTCCACAGTTTCCTAACTCCATAAAAAAATTTGAAAATTTCAAAGCTTTGGTGAGTATGTTACTACTTCCATTTCCTGCACACTCAATTATTCATTTTGTGACAATTTCTATATATTGCTCTCCCTTTTTTTTTATTCTACAAGAATAATGAATCCATCTTTACATATGAATTAGACTAGAGCAATCCGCAATGCTCGAGCAGAATACTCAGTTGAGCCAGCCAAGCGTATATCTGCATCTATAGTTGCAAGTGAGGAAGTCATCCAATATATATCTGTAAGTGCACTCCATTTCCTTAATCTGTCTTGTAGGTGGGCATTAGTGTGCTGTTCTAACTAGAGCTTTAGCTGCATAATCAAGCAAGGTTAAAAACATTTTTTTTCTTGATCCTTGATTTTTGTTGGATTGGCACAGTAACATTCAAACCTTCTACTTTCCAACACCAATTGGCTCATATGCTGTCATTGTTCCCTCCCTGTCTAAGCACCTACTGAGCTCATGGCCAAAAGAAACCTTAGTGCAATAGAGATAATAACAATTCTGAAAAGAGAGGAATACAGATAAAACATGCAGCAACAGGCTGGCCTTCTGCTCAGTAAAGGAAGGAAAAAGGATTCTTGCTTGTATAAATTCTCAAACTTCTGCTGCGCAAACTGATTATAACTTGTAAATGCCCTTTTGTATCATGAAAACAATATAAGTTATATTTTAATACTTGAAATGCTCTACTCTTAACCATCCAAATAATTTGTTACGAAGGATAGTGAATTATGTTCACTATCTGTTTAGCTTTGTTTCTTTCATTAAATGTTATGTTCTATTTGATACAAGAAAAGGTAATATGGTCGGCATTCATCTTACTATTTCTTCACATGCTGTTTATACATGCGTCATTGCTACATCATTCTTCCATTGCAATCTACAGATGTTTAGTCTAGGTGATTGAATAGCAGCCTTGTTCAGTAAGACACTTTTTGGCTTGGCTATTTGTTAAATTTGTGCGCGCATGGTAATAATAACCTCTGTCAATGCAGAATGAGAAGGAAGTCTTAGCTCTTCTTTCCAGGCTAGATCTACAAAATGTCCATTTCACAGATTCTCCTCCAGGCATGTTTATTTATAAATCACTTCTGCTTTTTCTGCATTGTATCTGCCTTTCATTTTCTTTCTTGTCAACAGCCCACATATAAATGTTGTATATTATTTCGGCTTGTCATTTTTCCTTCCTTTACTCATGATTGGTCTCTGAAAATTCTATCTTTAGGGGATGCAAACCAATCAGTACATCTGGTTGCGAGTGAGGGACTAGAAGCCTATCTTCCTCTTGCAGATATGGTCGATATATCTGCCGAAGTAGAACGCCTTTCAAAGCGCCTCTCTAAGATGCAAGTGGAGTATGATGGACTTGTTGCTCGTCTCGGTTCCCGAAAAGTATGAACACCTTTCTACTCTACTTTTACATGCGTTTTTATGTCCATAAATCTCGCTCACTCTCCCCCTCAAAATGAGGGATTGCTGAACCATGCTTATTATGGATTATGTATAATCCAAGGTTATGATTTTCTAGGCCCTGGCACATCTTAATGTGAAGTAAAAACTACTTGGCTCTTGCCCTAGGACAAATCTATTTTAACATTTCATAGCTCTTGATATTTACACTTGTGCAATATGCTTACAATCTGCGTCGCTCTACAGTTTGTAGAGAAAGCTCCTGAGGATATTGTCCGTGGGGTTCGAGAAAAGGCTGCAGAAGCAGAGGAGAAGATAAACCTCACAAAGAACCGGTTGGCTTTCCTGAAATCCTCTGTTATGGTGTCACAATAGATATGCCTGGGGTAGACTTCATTAGTTGTCAATGTCCAGATTAAACCCACGAAATTGGATTCATCTCATTGCATGACCAGTGCTCCACACAACCATCTGACATCCCCGTCATCAACTTTCTGGTGGGACAATGGCTATTATGGATGACCATTTAGAGGAGGTAGGGCAGGATAGTGGGACAGTTCGGCATCTGGAATTTCTGCCTAAACTGAGTCTTGCTTTGCCTTGCTTAATGGAAGAGATAAAAGTACTTGACAAATTGAGTACGAAATTGTGCTACTATCCATGATATTTTTAGTGCCAGAAGAGGTCACTGATATAATTCTTGGCCATCTAAATGTACAGTTATTATCTTACCAGCAGAATTCATGTTATCTTAGCCTGCTGTTACCTTTTGACATCTTACTTACATTAACTTAATTCTACCAAAGATTTTACCTTTATATGACCATTTTGCCTTTTGTCATGATCTGGCATTCTTATTTTTATCTTTGATGACTTCAGACCCAGTAAAACGTTTTGTATCGTCAGTGGCTATTGTAATGCAGTTGAAGAATGTTGTCGCTAATCAATGTTAAACATATATCTACAATGGCATTGATTTGATTGTAAATGTGAAAGAACAGGGATGGCAATTCAATCCGCCCCGTCCCGTTTGGGGCAGGGATGGGCACAAAATTTTGCTTTGAACAGAGCACAGGATGGGGATGAGTTTTTTTTTTTTTTTTTTTGGGGTGAGATGGGAATGGAGATGGCCATCGTCACCCTACTTTTTTGCCTTCTAAAAAAGTAATCTGACGAGATCCTATCTCGCCCTGCCCTACCCCATTTGAGGTGAAGATGAGAAACAAAATTTTGCTCCGAACAGAGCATGAGACGGGGATGGGTTTTTTTTTTTTTTTGGGACTGGGTGGGGATGGAGATGGCTGCCCCATTGCCATCCCTATGATGTTCTATCTGCTACAACGTTCACCATCTCAATAGCCAATTTACACTTGAAATGCTGTTCAAACGGTGGATTAGCAGAAATTCTCTGAAGCACTATCATATGATTCGAAATTGTTGGTGAACAGCTACTTGGCAGACAGTTTTCCTTCCTGTGAAATTCCAAATCTCCTACTGTCTAACAGTCATTTCCTCTAGCTCATATCAAGAAAAGAAACGAGACCAATCAAGCAAAGTTCGATAATTATTTTTAACTTTGTAAGGATTGTTTACATAAGATTCAAGCAAAATACTCGGACTAGAGAGCTCACACTAGATTTCTCTAGTCCAGCAACAAGCTTTCTGTAGTCTCTGCACTGGCACCAAAATAATGCGAGCAACAAAGCTTCAATCCTTTGGAAACCATTTCGTTGTAAAGGTTAAGAGCCTTTCTTTTATCACCCTTTTCAAAATGCCCTTTGATCAACGCCTCATAAACATCCTCACAAGGATTTAGTGATCGACCTATCATAATTCTTAAATATTTTTCTGCCTCGTGTAGTTTTCCACAACGGCAGAGGCTCTTAATCAAGGAAGTGAAACCCATTAATCCAGGAGACAGTGACCGATATTCCATTTCATAGTAAAGTTTGAGCATTTCCTGAATTTGATCGTGTTTCGCATAACCAGAAATTAGATTAGAGTATGTGATCTCGTCTGCTAAGAACCCTTTATCTAGCAAATTGGTCAGCATGTCATTTGCTTGCATCACATCCCCCATTTTATACAGCTTTCCTACCATCTCATTGAAAGCTGAAAGGCAGGGAACAAGTCCTATCTCTATCATTTTCTTGCAGTGACTCAAACTTTCTTCTACTCTTCCTGCTTTAGCACAACCCTCAAGAAGAAAGTTAAAAGTGTCTTCATATGGTTTCAGACCCATGTTTTCCATTTCTTGCAACAACTGATTTGCTTCTTCAGTTCTTTCCTCCTTACAATAAGCCCCTATAAATGAAGTATACACAAAAGAATTTGCATCGAAACCTCTCTTTAGCATTTCCTCGTAGACCTGTATTGCCAAGTTCAAATTTCCAAGTTTGACTTTAGCATAAACAGTCAAAGAGTAAGCAACAGTATCCAGAATCATGTTCTTTCGCAGCATCATTTTCAATAACGCCAAGCCTGGTTCAACTCTTCCCTCCTCTAAAACCCTAAATACCAAACAAGTATTAACAATAACTACAGGAGAGCATCTTTTTCCATGGATATTATCCAACATATCCACAATTGTTTGTAACTTCCCTTCTTTACACAAAGCATTGATCATGCTTTCAATTGTTGCTTCATTTGGGTAAGTTCTTCTGTGAAGCATATGTTCATAAATTTTCCACACCAGGGGACTTTTATCAGATTTTTGAACAACATGAATAAGGTTGTTGAAACTTATGAGGCTCAAGGTGACTCCATGTTCTTCTAAGTAGCAGCAAACATCAAAACCAATCTCAAACATTCTCAACTTCGCATAAGCCTGAACCAACATATCAAACACTATGGGACTTGATGTAATAATCTTATAACTACTAAGCATGGAATCCACAACCGAAAATTTTGAAGGGTCCCCTACACTGTTTTTCAAAACTGATTCAAGCAATGCTTGAGCATCCATGGCCAGCCGAGCTCGAACTAATATGTGAATCATCAGACAATATGATTGAACCCCATGTACAAAGTTCCGCCTTGCTGACCAATGAAAGAAGCCTAGAGCCCGTTTTGCATCATTTGGTTCTTTCAATTCCAGCAATACATTTTTGACAAGCAAATTGTTGAACTCAAGAGACTTAAATTTTCTACTCAGAGTATCCCAGTTATATCCTCTCCTTAATGAATCACATATTGAACTTACAAGGGTGTCACTCTCTGCTTTTGTGCCATCATGAAGGAATCTAGCCACCGCAAACCAAGAATTGCAGACACATGGATGGATGGAATTCTTGAGTGGTGTCGAAATCAAAGATGGAAAAGTTCGACGCAGCAAAGCCATGCTCTTGACAAAGTTTTACCTAATCAATCAGGACCAAGTATAGGATGAGACATGAATTCTATTAGGATTATACATCTTGACAAATATTATGAAGTGCTCAACTATTACCTTTGGAAGCAATTGGAAAACAGCTTGCATTCTGCCTCAGCAACTAACATGTAACTGTAACAATTTCAAGTATCAAGTCGGATAAAAAATGCAAAAGCTTTATCAAAGTTCAAATCACAAAGTTTTCTCCTTTATTAAACTTTACATCTATGTTGCCTGCTAAAAGCTTAGAATCAGACATAACATTCATAAATTTATTTACTTTTACAGAATTTTCAAACATTCAGCTGCCACCAATTTGCAAACCAGGTTAAATAGGCATGTGGGTGTTGGCCATTAATAACTATGGTTCCTCAAAAGTTCTAAGTTTTCTCTCATATATATATATTGAGAAAAGCCAAAAAAAGGAATACCTCCAAAAGTGTTTATATATATATATATAGAGAGAGAGAGAGAGAGAGAGGGAGGGAGAGAGAGAGAGAGAGAGAACCTGAGAAGTAAGCAGTCCTTGTAAATTTCTGCTTGCTCCTCGATGGATTTTGTCTTGCTTTCAGTTTTCTAGGCTTGGGTGAGCGGAGAGGAGAGAGAGAGAGAGCAAAACAAAGGGAGGAATTTAATGAAGGGAAGATGTTTGATGATTGGTCCCATTCATTGACTTTGCTTGCTTTTGGCTTATGAGTTCAACCGATGAGAGAGCGAGGGAAAGTGGGGAAGGAGTTTTATTGTGGTTGTCAGTGGCATTTTCTGAAGGTTGACCTAGCTGTAAGGTAAATCACCTCGTTCACTTGGTGGACAGTTTGGACTTACACCAAACTCTAGATTCGTATCACGTTTTTCATTAATAAATAGTTTATTTTTAGGTTTTACACCAATCATTCATATTTGAATTAAATGTAAATGTAATTACGTGAATATGAATTCATATATATATATATATATATATATATATATATATATATATATATAAAACTTATCTATACGTATTATAGTTTTTATTAATATATATTTATAGATAATAGAATATCATTGTATCACTTTTTAGTCTATCAAGACTAAATTTATTTATTTATTTTTTAAATAAGTCATCCTCAAACATATTTAATTTTTGATCAATCTTTGAATAATTTTTTAAACTAAATCAGTTCATACTTAAAACGAATAATAATTATAACAAAAAACAATAGTTTAAAAATAAGTATAGTTTAGCTATAAGATAGTAGTCTCCCGATAAATAAATATCAATTTATAGATTAAGTTTAGAGTTTAATTTTTATGATCAATATTTTTAATAATTTATTCTCAAAATATCCGAAATCTTACATGCCTTTTAGCTATATTTAAGATGAAATTAATCTTAAAATACGTAAAAACGGAGTTGGTCAGAATATATTTTATTGTTGAGCCTAAAAAAAAAAAAGTATAGTTTTAGTCATGCTGAAAACAATAGCTTAAAAGTTAAATGTGTAGATGGATAGTTCACGAGAATTGGATGCCGTCAGTTTTTGGGGCTGCAAATGCGGCATGTATAGCTCACATATTTAAACAAAAAACTACATGCCATCCTTCCTTTCACTCAAATGGTAAGTTTGATCCAATGAGTCATTCTATTCTAATGTTAGAAAAGCACTATTCGTATAAACTGGTTTGTCACTTTGCCTCTCCAAATTTACTCTTTTCAATTTTTCATCCATCTCCATCTAAAAACAAGCATAATTCACTTCGAAATAGAAGAAATTGAAAGTAGATATAGTAATTCAACAGAAAAACACTTTCTTTTAACCTCCTTAGTCCTTTACCTATACAGTGAAGAAGTTAGATTTTGGAAACCCAATCTTGATATAGACAATGCCACTAAAAACCTACTTCTGCTTTTCATTTTTTAGATAAAGTCACTTTAGTCCTTACAAATTTCTTTTTTCTTTTTAACTCCTTTTGCATTGTTTTTACTCCAAATCCACAGTTTACAAAACACATCATCAAACCAACACCTTTCCAAATCTAAGTCTCAACCACCCTAACCCTAATCCACCCCCAAAATTAGCCCAAAAATCCCCCCGTCCAGAACCCTCTCTCACCACCACAACTGAAAAAGTCCCAAAATCAGCTCAAGCCTCAATCAAACCCTAACCCTACTCGAACCAAAACACAGCCATGGACTCCACCCCAGCCCCAGCCCCACAACCCCTCCCCTTTAAACCCTCTTCCTCCTCTTCAGCCTCCAAACTTCCCATCAAACGCAAATTCCCTGATCCTCACAACCACCACCACCACCTCTTCTCTCCAAAGCTTGAACCTTCCTCCACCACAAACCCTGATGCAATCTCCACTCCCACCACCAATTTTGACTCAAAGCCACCACCTTTTAAGTTTCACAGAATCTGGACTGAACCTGATGAAATCAACTTCCTTCAAGGCCTACTCTCTTCATCCTCTCAAGGCCTCGCTTTTCCTAAAGACTTGCCCTTTTTTTATGACAGATTCTCCAATTCAATGTCACAACCTTACACAAAATCTCAGCTTTCTGAGAAACTGAGGAGGTTGCGTAAGAAGTTTCGCAGTACTTCTTCACGCCTTGCGCGTAATGGGTTCAATTATTCATCATTGTCATCTCATGATCGTGCTCTTTTTGATCTCTCTAAACAGCTTTGGAGCCCTGAATTTGCGTCGAGCTCGCCTTTTGGAGGTTATAAAAATAGTAATAGCAATTTTGATGGTAATGTGAGTAATGCTGGTAGTGATGGTGTTAGAAGGACCGAACTTGATGAGGATTTGGTGGGTGTTAAGGTTAGTTTTTCGCCGGTTTTGGCTTTCCCTCGCGCAAATGTAAATGTGAATCATGAATTGAATGATCTGGGGTCGTTGGATTTGGATGAATTTGATGATGGTTATGTTGTGAAAAAGAGGGAAGGCATTGTAGGGTGTGAGGTGGATAGGGGGGTGAGTGGAGGTGGAGGTGTTAGTGGGGTGGTAGTACAGAGGGTGGCCAAGAGTGTTTTGGATGTGTTTGATCAGTGTTTAAAGGAGGTTAAGAAGGTTGTTCTTAAGGAGCGGTTGGACAGTTCTATGGAAGGGAAGGATAGGGATTTCCAAAGGAGATGGAGGGAGCAAAGAGTTGCCGAGTTTGATGTTTTGGCTCTTCGGTTGAGGTTGCTTCTTGACAATTCTGCTAATAGGCAATGACTATGTTGACTTGTGACTAGATTTCCTTGTACACTCTCTAATGTAGGCTTGTTTTGTTTTGTTTTTTTTTTTTTTTTAAAAAAAAAAGAAAAAACATTCTTGTACATAATTTTATGCAATTAGTTAGGGGAAATTAAGGTAACGAGAGCCAATTCATTCATGCTTGTTGTCGTTCATCATTTTTGTTTTTTCTTTTGGTTGGATGAATGGCTTTATTTGTTCCTATCTGTTGGTTACCAATCTTGCATTATGCGGTTCATGTAAATTCATAAAGTTTTACAATTAAATTTGAAATTGGCTTGTCTCAATATGTGCAATTGCTGTAAACTAGATGTAGTTATTGTCCCATTGCCAAACCCGCAGTGAAGGACCAAACTATTATTCACAGGAGAACCCGCAATTCTGAGACACTGAGCTTGAAATCCTTACCTGTGCATTCTTAAGACTTCTTCTGCGTAAGCTCAAGCTGGTGGAAGCATCAGTAGACTCCTTTGAACAGGAGAGAGAAGCTTCTTCATATTTTCTTTTCACTCGCTACCCGATTACTCATGAGTGCAAATTTGTTTGCACTGCATCACTTTGCTGTTGAAGTAGTTAGCATGCTTCAAACGGAACCAAGTCATCAAGTACCTGAACAATCTGCTAAGCAGATGTAAAGTAGTTAGCATGCTTGATACTGAACCAACTACTGGTTAGTACGGTGACGGTGTCACCGTTAAACGGAACTTCCTGATCCATTGATCCACAGATAGACTTGAAGTTTAGTTAATTGGAACGTATTCAAGATTGTTTGTGGTAGCTCTACGAAAAGTTGTTTACAGTTATGGTTTGTGAATCTGCTAGGGAAGAATGTGACATTGTTGTTAAAGGAGAACAGTATCTTTTGAAGCTTCAGTCATCTGCTTTATATGCCAAACAGCAATGTAGGAAGCTTCCTAGCGTAACGAAAGGACATAGCTCATGAAACAGGTTAATGAGCCGTAGCTCTTAATTGGCATGGTGTTGTCTGATTTCCTACTAAACTCTGTGTGGTTCAAGTCTCTTTGTAGGCAGAATAAGAATGGCCCATGAAAAGGTGGAAGTCAAGAGGTTTATACTTTCTGCAGCCTGTGCACTGCTGAATATATTCTTGTCATGTTTTTTCACCACTTAAATTCTTCTTTCAATTTATATGGACGAGCTAGCAGGTTCCATTTTAAGTTAAAAATGCTTTCTTTCTTTCTTTTTTTTTCGTTTTTTTGGCTGTTGGGGAAATGTTTGGATTCATCATCGGATGAATGTTTAAAATTGGATAAATTGCAAGTTGAATGCAATTACTGTTGTCAACAAGAAGCTAAGAAGCAGGTAGGGAGGAAGGGAATATTCCTGCAACCTTAAAAAAATAAAATAAAAAATAAAATAAAATAAAATTGCACTAAATAATGCTCCTTCATCTCTAAAACAATTGCCAGTGTTTTTTATTTTTATTTGTTCTAAAATGATTGTTCATTAGTGATGGATTAACGAGGGATAATTAGCGACGGTAAAAAATCCGTCACTAAATAAGGTGGAAAAAAAAGCATCAAAATTAGCGACAGATTAATGATGGCTTTGTGGTCTCTAAATGAAAAAATTAGTGACGGACTTCAAATTTGTTGCTAATTAGCAACGGATTTTGGAATCCGTCACTAAAATTAGCAATGAACATCAAGTCCATCACTAATTTGTGCTTTTTTTGGAAGGAAATTCCCTCAAAATAGCCCAAAGTTAACGACGGATTTCAAAATCCGTCACTAAAATTAGTGACGGATTTGATGTCCGTCGCTAATTAGTGACGGACTTCAAATCGTCGCTAATTAGCGACAAATATCAAATCCGTCACTAGTTTTTACCTTTTTTGGGAGGAAATTCTCCCAAAATGGCCCAAAATTAGCGATGGACTTTAGGTCCATCGCTAAGGGTTGAAATTTTAGGAAGAAATTTCTCCCTAAAATCTCGATCGAGTAGCGACAAACGCCAAGTTCGTCGCTACCTAATCGACGTTTAGTGACGGACGAACGTCCATTGCTAAACTTCTAGAATTTAGGAGCAAATTTTCCCTTAAATTAGCGACGAATTAGCGACGAAATCGGGTTTGTCGCTATTTTTCCTTTATATATACCCCCTTCTTCTTCTTCTCCATTTGCTTCCCTCACCTCCACCATACCTCCTCTTCCACCGCCTCCTACAAAAACGCCCACCCACACCGCCCTACACCATTAAATCTTTTTCAAAACCGTTCAACAAAGTGAGAAGTATCTTTCTCTTTCAAAATCGGATCGGATCCGTGTTCTCTATCCTTGATCTATCGGGTAAAACTTTCTCTCTCTAACTCTTATATTTTTTTAATTAGATAATTGTTATAAATTTTGTTATTTGTTAGTTTATTAATTGTTTGAATGTTATTAATTATCTTGTTAGGTTAATTTTTTGTTATGCTAAGTTGTATGTAGTAGTTTAAATTTGGTCGTTGTTATTTTATTTTTATAACTATTAGATTAACTTAATTTTGTTAAGTTTTATTTTGTTGTTATGTTAATTGTTACGTTAATTTGTATGTTAACGTAAACCTTAAAAATTTAAATTTTGTTAATTTTAGTTGTTAGATTAAAATTAAATTATTTAATCTTAAATTGTTATTTTAGTTAAGCGAATTAATTATATATTTATTTGTTTTTAGTGTTAGGTTAATTTGGTTAGTTGTTTGTTTAAAGTTAATTTTGAAATTATATAATTTTTTTATGTAGTTTAGTTAAATTTGGTTGAAGTTATATAATTTTTGACATAGTGTAGTCATTTCGAATGTAAATTTTATAAGTAATTTTATTAGTTTAATTGTTAAAATTGAAACAAGATAACATGTATTATGATTTGATCGTTCCTTCCACTCGGCTTCCAATTCAGCCTCCAATCGAGCCCTCCACGAGTATGAAGATGAGGATATGAGATTAGACGAACGGGATAAGTGATATAATAGTCAATCACTTTGTTTGTTTTGTTGTTTTTTATGAAATGTGTTCTAGAATGATTTTGTTAATATTATTTTATTTTTCATATATACATTATTACTTATAATTGTTTATTATTAAATATTAATTATTAAATTTTATATTAATAATTTAATTTTGAAAAATGTAAACAAAAGCAACAAAATTGTGGAAAAATTGTTTTTGAAATTAGTGACGGAATAACGATGGATTGGTGACAATTCATTTTTCAAAATTAGTGATAGATTTATTTTCAAAATTAGCATTAGCGACGGAATAACGATGGATTAGCTACGAAAAAAAGAGCGATCCTACGACGAGATTAGCGACGGATTGTTCGTCACTAAATTTAAGGACGAAAGAGTATTCTATCGCAAAAATTTAGCGACCAACAAAATCGATGCGGAATATGATCCGTTGCTATTCCGTCGCTATTCATAATTAGCGACGGAATATTCCGTCACTAAACTCAATTTTTTTGTAGTGGTTTAATCAAAATATTCAAGTTATATATTTTCCTATAATATCCTAATCAAGTCTATTTATAAAGAATCTATAATTAATTAAAAAAGAGATATTTTTGAAAAATATAGATAAAAAATAGGGTTAATAACCTCATGTATCTTTATATAATAAGTTAATTTTATAATATGTCTTAAAAAACTCCTTCAATCTGTCTTTATATTGTGAGTTGATTTCTAATCTATCATTTTAGTTAAAATTTTAAGTTAATTTATCAAAGATTAAGCATGTGATATGGATATAGTAATTAATTTGATGAAATTATCTTTATTATTCACAAATAATCTATATGTATTAATATGAAGATTAATTTCGATTAATTGATCGAAAACTTAGCCAAACGAATAGATTAAAAGCTAGCTTAAAATATAAAGATAGATTGAAAGTTTTTTGATTGAACAAATTGAAAAATGGCCTATCATGTCAAGGTATATGAGGATATTAACCTTAAAAAATGGTGAAATGACATGAATTTATAATATTATTTTTCTTCCTATAAAATTGATATATATTGATAAATCAGCACACAACACCAAAGTGGCTGTAGTTTAGTGGTGAGAATTCCACGTTGTGGCCGTGGAGACCTGGGCTCGAATCCCAGCAGCCACACTTTATATTTTTGTTTTTCATTTCAATTAATGATGCCAAAGGTAAATCCAATAACGTTGCCGTTTTTCCTCTTATACCAGATCCTAGTCAGGTGCTCAGCGCCAGCAGTAGTGTTTAAAGACTGGACTCCTCCTTCTTCCTCCTCTACTGCCAACCCAGTTGCTCTCTCCTAGCTTTCTTCAATCTTGATTCTCTCGCTGTAAGTCTCTCTCTTTCTTTTCTTCTTCTTATCCTTTGAATCATTCAATCGCTACCTAATTTTTTCATCTCTCTTGTTTTAATTTGGATGGTCATTTAGAATATCTTTTTAACTTTCTTGAAGATTAACCAACTCCACTTGCTATGATTTTTTTTTTACTTGCTGTAATTTAGCTTCAAAAATCCACTGAGAATTTTATTTATTTTGTGGATAGATAGATCATTTGATCACGAACCACCTGATGGGAAGTTTGAACGAAGAAAAACTTAGATTTTGTATTGATAGAGGCGGCACATTTACTGATGTATATGCCGAAATTCCTGGCAAGACTGATGGTCAGGTGTTGAAACTGTTGTCTGTTGATCCTGCGAATTATGAGGATGCCCCGGTGGAAGGGATTAGGAGGATTCTTGAGGAGTATTCAGGGGAGAAAATTCCAAAAACCTCGAAAATCCCAACGAATAAGATTGAGTGGATTAGGATGGGGACTACTGTTGCTACCAATGCATTGTTGGAGAGAAAAGGTGAGAGGATTGCATTGTGTGTGACTCGAGGGTTTAAGGATTTGTTGCAGATTGGTAATCAGGCTCGTCCGAATATCTTTGATTTGACTGTGTCAAAACCATCGAATCTCTACGAGGAGGTTATTGAGGTTGATGAGAGAG